GAAGAAGAAGAAGAAGAAGAAGAAGAAGAAGAAGAAGAAGAAGAAGAAGAAGAAGAAGGAGGAGGAAGAGGAGACGGAGAAGAATCCTCTTTGAGATTCTAACATTAATATATTATAATAAGTTTTTCAATACAAATGACTATTAGAAAACATAAAGGTCACGACAAACCTTCAAAAAAAAAAAGGTTCACAGACCTCAATTAACTGGGAACCATTGCTCTAAGCAGTGATTACGGTGAAAGACTTCAACACATACATATTTTACTCACAGCCCCAATGACATTAGCAAATGCACATATTAATGATATGTCTACAGTGACTTCAGAACAAGCCTTTTTTTTTTTTAAGAAAAGAACTTCAGTGACAAAGTAACCAAAGCACCTATTTACTAATATATTTCCTGTGATATTAGCCAAGCACTTTATACCACACATTTCCTGTGACATTTGCCGAGCGCATTTTACTAACATATCTCATGTGACATTAACCAAGAACAATTTACTTCCATACCTCCTGTGATTTTATTAGAAAAGCACATTTTACTAATATATCTCCAGTGACATCAGAAAAGCACATTTTACTGATATACCTCCAGTGACATCAGAAAAGCACATTTTACGGATATATCTCCTGTGATATTAGAAAAGCACACTTTATGGATATTTCTACTGTATCATTAGAAAAGCACATTTTACTGATATACCTCCTGCTGTGACATTACAAAAGCACATTTTACTGATATATCTCCTGTGACAGAAAAGCACACTTTACGGATATATCTACTGTGACATTTGAAAAGCACATTTTACTGATATATCTAATGTGACATTAGAAAAGCACATTTTACTGATATAGATCCTGTGACATCAGAAAAGCACACTTTACGGATATATCTACTGTGACATTAGAAAAGCACATTTTACTGATATACCTCCTGCTGTGACATTACAAAAGCACATTTTACTGATATATCTCCTGTGACAGAAAAGCACACTTTACGGATATATCTACTGTGACATTAGAAAAGCACATTTTCCTGATATATCTACTGTGACATTAGAAAAGCTCATTCTTCTGATATACCTCCTGTGACATCAGAAAAGCACACTTTACGGATATATCTACTGTGACATTAGAAAAGCACATTTTACTGATATACCTCCTGCTGTGACATTACAAAAGCACATTTTACTGATATAGCTCCTGCTGTGACATTACAAAAGCACATTTTACTGATATACCTCCTGTGACATTAGAAAAGCAAATTTTACTGATATACCTCCTGTGACATTAGAAAAGCAAATTTTACTGATACATCTCCTTGAAATTAGAAAAGCACATTTTACTGATATATCTCCTGTGACATTAGAAAAGCACATTTTACTGATATATCTCCTGTGACAGAAAAGCACATTTTACTGATATATCTCCTGTGACATTAGAAAAGCACATTTTACGGATATATCTACTGTGACATTAGAAAAGCACATTTTACTGATATATCTACTGTGACATTAGAAAAGCTCATTCTACTGATATACCTCCTGTGACACACTTTCATATGCTACATATAAATCTACAGTGGCTTAAGCAAAGGAATATTTTCCAACTTACTTCAAGTAAGTTTCATCATGGATGGGGAAATTACTTCTAATGCAGCCAAGATAAAACACTTGACAAAACCACAAAAAAGACACTTAAAATAAAATAAAAAAATAAAAAAATTCAAAGTAATGTCCCAGGTATTTTCAAGGTCTGCTGTGAAGACTTTAAGAGATCAAACCAAAGGAAAAGCAGAACTAGCCAGCTTCACACTGTCACAATCACAAACAACAAGTGAACACTGTGAACAGAAAGCCTTCATCAGCATATTACATGAACAGGCAATGTTACAATTACAAACAAAAATACACAAAATCCCTTAACTGAGGTTTCTCCGAGAGAAATCCACATCTGTATGGTAAGAAATTCGACAGAGATCACCACAGTGTCATGACTGTTAAGTATTCATTTGTATGTATGTGCCTGTAGGAGAACGGCCAGACACATTTAATAATGTGCCTGAAAGGATCTGCTGCAGTGCAGCTGTTTACCTGCCGACTCACTGGCAGATGGTTCCAATTATGCCATTTGGTAGGTTTTAAAAAAAACCCAGACTAAAATTAGTTAGTTAGTTAGTCTTTCCTCTTGTGTCGAGTGCGGCACATAGGGCAGAGGTCGTGACTCTCCATGCACGGCGGTCCGTTGCAATCCGTTGTAGGTCTTGGCCCATGAGCGAGCCTTCCCTGATGATAGTTCTACGTAGGGTTTCCCTTGGTCTTCCACGAGATCTTTTCCCCTGTGGTGTCCAAATGAGGGCTTGGTAAGGAAGTCTTGATTTATCCATTCTAAGGACGTGGCCGACATAGTTCCAGCGGCGTTTTCGTATAAAATTAGACACATACTCTTGCCTGGATTCTTGCCTTATTTGTGTATTGGTTCGGAAATCTGACCATTTGAAATTTAGTATTCTTCTAAGGCATTTATTTCAAAACTGTCTAATTTTGTGTCTAGATGTTTTCGTTGATTTCCAAAACTCTCGCATCCATAGGTTAGTACTGGAATCACACAAGAATTGAAGATCTTGAGTTTTGTGTGTTTGCTAAGTGTCTTTGATTTCCAGATGTTAGACAGTTTATTGAAGGCACTAGATGCCAGTGCTATTCTAAATGATATTTCTGGTGCGGTATCTCCTGTAGATGACATCTTGCTCCCTAGATAAGTGAAACTGTTGACTTTTTCAAGGCTGTTGTTGTTCAGCGTGATATCAACTGAACTGTTGGTAAGGTCTAGACTAAAATGGGTGCCAGAAAATGTCCTAGCAAGTAAGAGCAACCAGTGTGATTTTGAAGACATCACTCGAGTGATGACTGACCAAAAAAAAAAATACTGAGTTAGTTCTATATGACTGATATGTTGCGGTGGAAGGTTTGGGGGGGGGGGGGGGGGGGGGGGTTAGGGTAGTAATCATAGTCATACAATGCTAGAAACTTTTAGATAAACAACTTTGATAGACTAGAAATTTCTAGGTCAAGAGTCGTTTACTTACAAAAACCAAACACAACTAGCTCGACTAATCTGCCAACGAGATTAGGAATGACGAGGTCAAGGATTTTCTTAGACTAAAAAGTGCTAGGTCAATAATTCTGTTAGAAACAAGAAATAACAATAATTTTGTTACAGACCAGATTCAACTATGTCAACAAGTCTATGAAAGAAAAGAAACTACTTAAGTCAATAAATCTGTTACAAACTACCAGGTTAATAATTTTGATAGACCAGAAACTTTTGAGGTCAATAATTCTGCACACTTACAGCACTCTAGGCGAAAGATTTATTTAATCACCAATTACATCTTCTTAGAACTCTTATTACTATGTAAAAGATACACACATAAATCTAGGACTACTGATAATTGAGACATCAGATCTGCCACTCTTTGCACACTCACCTAACACACTGATCTACAATACAGAATAAATAAATGCTTGTCAATGTCTATAACAACTTAATAAGAGAAAACAAGCAACAATACTGACCTAATGCTACTGAATCAGCAAAGGTCTAGCTATAACTACTAAGCTGGCATTCTTTCACACAGCTCCCTTAAGGAGATGGTACTTTGATACCTGGTCACAGAGAAAATTTCTACAGTAGTAATTTCAAATCAGCTACTGCTTGTGGACTCTTCTCCCTTCTGAAGATTACTAAGGACCCTATTGTTTCTTAATAGTCATAAAGAAGATCTTAAAATTTATAAATATTAGAATCGTATAAAAAGATCACATCACATTCTAAAGTAACAGTTATCAACCTGTAAGTCGTGACCCTTTTTTTTTTGGGGGGGGGGGGGGGGGGGGGGGGGGGGGGGGGGTGATCCTTTCACATGGGTCGCCAAAGACCATTGCAAAACACATTTTCATTGAAGTTATGAAGTAGCGATGAAAATAACTTCCTGGTTGTGGGTCACCACAACATGAAGATCTGTATTAAAGGGTCATGGAATTAGGAAGGTTGGAAACCACTGTTCTAAAGTTGACAGTTTTTACTTCCCATGTGGGTTTCGGGGCTCTATTATAGGGAAAACAATAGACCTACAGCCTACACAAAAGTATGTCGACTAATTGGGAGCTTCCTTTGAAGTCAGGCTGCATCCCCTGAGAGGCAAGGAACCAACAGTCTGCACACAAATGAGCCAGATCTGTCAAACGGATACACACGCAAAACTCAGGTTCTGAAACAGGACTGCAGTCGAGAAGTGGACGAACAAGCAGAACTTTCTGCTGAAGTTTACAGCCGGTAAATGTAAAGAAAAAGAAGAAGTTTATACTTTTATTTTCAATAAATGATATCATGGACCTCTTAAATTTATTCCATGTACACCAAGGGATCTACGGACTACCGAACTGGAAAGACTGATCTAAATAAATCTCATTCACATTAGGGGGGAAAAAATGTTTAATCAGTTTTATAGGTGTCTGTGAGAGAGCCAGCTGGAAGACAGTAATAATACTGACTTTCAGAATCAGCTGTGTACAGATCCTGTCTAAAGACACAAATCCTATGCTGTCAGCTTGTACAAGTATCAAATCAAATTTACAACCAAAGAAGGATTCTGTGAAACAGATGCAATGTTTTATAAGTAGTGTGTAATAACACTGATTAAAGTTTTAAAGAAAAAAAATTTTAAAAAGGAAAGAAAAATATTTTAAATCAAGAGGGTCCTTATTGCAACAGGTTTTATCACACATGGCTCAGACACTCTTCACAGAATGGCTAGCAACCTGCCAAGCCCATCATGCAAAGCAAGAATTCTGTGGCCCCATTAAAACCCCAGAGATCTCTGTAAAATGTGCGCTCATGAACTAAATGGCTCAGTCGATGAAACAAACCTAACACCAGAGCGCAGGGCAAACTTAGCCACAGAAAACCCCACACAAAAAACTATGGCTAAAACTTACTGAATATAGCAAGGCCTTCCTTTTCTCTTTTTCGAGCATATTCTCCAACTGCAGACAAAAAGTCTTCTTCTGTAGACACAAATAAATACAAATGTTAGTTTAGTGTCCCACAAATCCAACTCACCTCGGGGACTTAACGCCCAACACAACTTTATCTAATATTTATGAATTTTCGGCTTTGCCTGTTACAGCTTTTTCTATAAAAGATCATTATGATGTGAGAAGAATGATGCTGCGAGGAGTTGCCAGGGGATCTGGCCAACGCTCAACACTCAAGGGAAAAGCAAGATGGATATACAATCAGACAGTTACTGGTTTCATCTGAATCTGAACTCTTTGCATGCTGCTGTAGACAGGGATGGGCTGCTTATGGGAGTGTCCCAAGCGCTGTGATGTCAATTCTGAATTCAACATTCATTCAGCTTTTTCTGTCTAGTATTCATTTTGTATGTTCACAGTTGTGTCAGAGCTTCAACTGGCTAGGCAAAGATGTGAATTTCTCTGGGAGATACTTCAGTGAAAGGATTTTATGTATTCTTCTTTGTAACTGGCCGTAATATTCACTTGTCGCTTGTGCATGTTATGTTATCACAATCAACGTCTTTGCACATTGGGAATCCCCATGCATGCTCAGTCCTCTGATGCAGTAGCCACTTCAAGGCACCTCTACTGACTGCTCCCACACTCCTCGGTCACGCAGTCGTGTTAGCGTCACAGATTTTCCCTTATTCCCCAACCTACTAAATACAGCGTTGATGATGTCAGCTCTGTCCATGCTTATTCCCGTTTGCACTGATGCATTACTTGCCAGGTGGCCAGCTCTTTCATTATCATTTACTGTTGCAAGCCAGGAGTGTAGATCCAAATGATGGAGGCTAATTGCGACTTCAGAATGCTTTCTACCCATTCGGAGAAAATGACTACCTGTGGCTATTTTCTGAAGCATGTTCATAGAGTCTGAAATGATTACCGCATCTGTGGCCGCTTGTTCTGTTAACCATGCGAGTGCTCTGGAAGCAGCAGTTACGCTATGGTCATGCTTCGACGTAGCTGGTGCTTGTACATGTGATAATGTGAGACTGACTATTTCTACTGTTTGTCTGGTTTTATCTCTTTTTATGACAGAAATCTTTAATATCAAGTGTCCTGATGACTGGTATGAGTGATGATGTCATTTCACAACCAATGTTATAGCTGCTGTATTGTTACAAGTGTTACAAGGCTATAATTATTTATTTCTTTTAAACTGAAAATTATCAAATAATTTTCATTCATAATTTTAATTTTTTTGCTCTGAATACCATATCAATTTTAAATGTAAACAAAATAGCGACAAGCAAATACAAAAAATTTTCAGATGTTTTTCTTTCACTTTTTACATTTTTCAAAACCCCTTTCTGTATTTTGGCTAACCAGACACTTAGAGCTTTGCTTTGTTTATTTATAATGTAGATTTGTTTTTTCTGTGTATTACATTTCAGTTTGTAGTTGAAGGAGTGACTTGCCACTGCTAGGTTTCCATATATTTTGAACCCTTCGAAAGGTGGTGGACATTTTTTCGGTCAGGGGCAAGTGGAATAGCCATTTGCCTTGCGCTATGAAGGTCGTGGGGTCATTTCATGGTTGTGCCATTCAGTTCACGAGTGCAATTTTTACGGAGATCCTTGGGAATCATCGCCAGAGCTACGTAGGTTGTGCTCTGTGCGATGCTCTCTGCAGGTAGCTAGCTGTTCTGTGGAGAGAGACTGAGCTATATGGGATAAAATCCAGTGCAATGAAGTCGATCCTCTCATCCTTTACCTTTTTGTAATAAGACTTGTACATTAACTATGGACTGTCCTCATGCTGTCTTTGCTGACAGTAATTTGTGCCTTACTGTCCTCACCTGTTAGCTCTGCTGTCAGCTCACTGAGAGCATATCTGGCCACCAACAGATGGGATTCAAACAAGGGGCCCAAGACTGATACAAGGAAATGTAAGCGTTCTCTGACATCACTTTTTTCAACATTAACCTGTTGATAAGATGGTTACAACAAGTAATCAAAAATGGTACATTCTGATAATAAAATATATGATCTTCTCTATCCCCCTCTAAACAGCTGATTTACCTTATTTTTTCATGTATAAGACAAACCCCCATTTTTATACTAAAATAAGGAATTAAATATTTGAAACACATTCCATGTATAAGACGACCTCCAATTTTCAACTTAAAGATGTTGGGAAAACATGCCACTTAAGTAACATTAAAACTCCATACTCCATATTTAAATTATACTCTAGCCTGACAAGTGTCAGAGTCCAATCCCCTAACCCCTTAACTGTTACATATTAATTCCCCAACCCAACAGTAGCGGCAGTAGGTTGGACAAACTATGACACGCTGGCCACACTGGCCTACCGAGAATATTGGCCCAAGAACTGGTGTAAAATTACTATACAATCTGGCCTTAGAGCTCATCAAATAACAGAACGTAATTTCTGCAAACATATTTAGAAATATGAATGCAGAGGGCTTCAGTGAGAGAGTGTCTCTCATGTCGCCAGGGATTATAATCTTAGATTATCCCACAAAAAGACTGAGTTATGAGGGAATCTTGGTGTTAGATTTATAATGTATGTGTCCCTACCCTACAAATGCCTGAAACCAGGATCGTAATTTTAAATTTGTCATGCGGACCAACCCATCCTGAGCTAGATATTAGGTTTAAATCCTAACTAAGGCAGAATTTTATAACTGACCTCGACTCCCAGGTCAACCCAGCATTAAATGAGTGTCTTTCCAGGAAATGTCCTGGGAAGTGAAGTCAGCTGGTGTGGTGTCCAATTAGGTGCCATTTGATTCATAAATGGCATGAATAGAGTCTTTTACTTACAACTATCACAGAATAATTTCCCAGCCTTGTAACTACAGTGGACTAATTCTCTAACCCTGTAACAGTGTCAGTACGGATGGTCCTGGGGTTATAGGTCACTGGAGGCATTCAGGCAGAAACAAACAGCATGAGTTAACTTGAATGGCCAACTGCTGTTTGATTTTGTGTTCATGTGAATAAAAGAAATTTCACACACTTCTTCTTCTTCTCAAAGTCCATGCCATGTGGCACTGGTAGTCATGTCTATCACAACTTTCTGTCTCGTGTACTTTCACATTTCTTCTTTCTTTGCACTGAAATAGAAACACATTTTAAATGTCAATATGTTTTTGAAAAGGGTACTAAAAAAAACTGACATAGAGATTGTAGAATAATGTCATTAAAGCCAGCATAAACAGGGACGGATAAGTGAAAAAATTATGTAGAAGCGGCGGAGATGTTGTTTAATAGACGAATGATGAGAACATCCTAAACAGACAAAAAGAGTAATGAAGATGTCTTGAAAGAAACTGCCAACATCAGGATACAATCTACATTCTCTGCTAATGTCGCGAGAAAGAGAAAACTGGAGTACACTAGAACAGTGTGAAAGCTGAAGGGGAAAGGAGGCAGAGGGGAGGGAGAGAGAGAGAGAGAGAGAGAGAGAGAGAGAGAGAGAGAGAGAGAGAGAGAGAGAGAGAGAGAGAGAGAGAGAGAGAAAGAGAGAGAGAGAGAAATGGAGGATCATCTGTGCTAGAACTGATTATAAAGTACATGAGGCAGAAGGTTGCGGATAGACGTGACTACCGACACCACACCGTATGGATTATAAAAAGAAAGACAGAGACGTCACTCCTATTAAAAAAATCATACTGGATGAAAAAATTGAAGGTGTGCAAGCGATACCTAGACAATGATACAAATGGGAGGATAACATCAAGAGACAGTCAAACAAAAAGTCTATACAACCAGAGTGAGGTCAATACATTGTTAGAGATGCACTAGAGCCAACCTTTATTGTAGAAACTGCATCTGGCTGACTGAATAATGAATTGAAAATTGCAGTATTAATTTCTTGATTTATTGTATTTCATCGACATCACCATTTCATTCTAAAAAGAAAAATGGAAACTAGAAACAACTTCACAAGAACACAGGTAGAAATAAACAAATGCAAAAGTGGAAACAAGTCATCAGAGACACCTTGAGCAGGAAAATACACAAGGCAAGAAGATCTGTCTAAGTCAGACAATTTTGCTGTTGTGTGCTGTAATATAAGTACATTCTGTAAAGGACCTACTATATGATGAGGATACGAATGTAGTAGTAGAACTGGTAGGGAAAAAACACATAAGACACACAAAAGTAATGCTTTGTTCAGACTTTCAGAATTTGCATAATCTTATTAGCGTACATAGGAAACAGAGAGGAAGAAGGGCAGAGGGAGACCAAGTAAGGGATAGTCTGGCATCATCACATGGAAAACAAATTTTATGAGAAATTATTGACGGTATACAAGAAAGATGGGTTCGACAGACATTATCACCAATGCCACATGACATGGACTATAAAATATTAAGAAGATGAAAATACTAGATGAAAAAAAAAATAATATAGCAACAGGAGACAATCATATCATCAAAAGTCACTTCCCCATTGGTATCAAAAATATATCTGTATTCATCCAGTCATTTAATCATCTGCCATCTCCATAAAGGAGGTTGATGGATCTGCAACACTGCTTCTCATTCTTGTTATACACTCTGCTATACTGCTGTTTAACTCTTTCCATATTATATTAACATCCCATCTGTATAGCTGTCTACATCTTGCTTGCCTGCTTTCAATTTTCCCTCTAAATAGATTTTTTAAATTATAGAACTCTACATTTTAACATGGGTAAACAATACATTTGTCTGTGCTTTATTTATTTCATCATCACTTTCTTTACTAGCTTTTTTAATTAATTCATCTTGATAGTTTTTCTTTTCATAAATACAAAATATGTTGCTATATATGCACTTTAACTATTCCCTGGTATGCGACGAGAAGAGAGGTAATGAAGAACATTATAATTAGAAAGATCACTGGTAGAGCAGGCAGAAGCAGAATGAGAGAAATTATGCCAGATGGTAGTATAGATGAATATCCTCAGCAGAAGTCATCCAGCTCAACAAGGATCAAGACCTATGGAGAGAAATGAATATCCATGCCTTATAGCAATGCACATGATGATAATAATGTGATCTGCTAATGTGAAAAGCTGATCTACTCGTATCAAGTTATTAATTCAGTCATTAATTCTAGGATGTACAAAATGAATCTTGTGCATTCATTACCTTTGCATAGTCCCCTGTTGACAATATTTCCTTCGAAATGAAAGACTCTAGAGTTCCAGACAACACTGTGCTCAGATTTTCACACGGCTGTAAAGAAATTTTAAAAAGTTTCTTCCGAATAAATTAATCTTTTTATTTATAAATGAACAAATTTGTAAAAAAAATTTGAAATATATATTTCCCTAAATATGTACACCAAAAATATCAACAGTCTGCATACAAATAAGGCACATCGGTAATACAGATAATTCGACTCGTGGAACAAGATTAAAGTGGATGAATAACCATAACTTTACACTAGAGTTTGCTGCCGGTAAGCATAAGGAAAAAGAAGAAAAAGAAGACAGTGAGAGAGGAAAGAGCAAGCGAGGACAGAATAAAGAGGATAAAAATGATTCAGTACAAAAGAACCATAAATTAAAAACAGACAGGCAAAAGCCAACAAACATAAACAAAAAGAAACACAAATACAGGTTTTACTAAAACATCATTGTAATGTTTTGAACAAAACAAAAATTCTTAATATACTCTTAAACAAAAAATTACTTCTATTATTCGAAATCACAGGTAAGGTATTAAAAGTTATTATAATTTTTAATGATGCTGTCATACTATTCTAAAGCCTAGCAACCTACTCATAACAGAATATTTAAATAATATTCTTAAGTGTAAGTCATAGGGAAACTACTACACTAATTTTTGAAGAATAGATTTATAGGCAGTTAAAGCTAGATTTAAGATGGAGTGACAAGTTCAAACAGTTCATACTCCCTGGTTGGGTTCTGGGGCCCCATTGTGGGGAAAACAAGAATAAACCCCTGTTGTAAGAGTCAACTAATTAGGGGTTTCCTTCAAAGTGGGAGTGCATTTGCCTGAGAGGCAAGGAACCAACAGTCTGCATACATATACGCCAGATCTGTAAATATGGATGTGCACACAACACTCAAGTTCTGGAACAAAACTATTTGGTCCAGAAATGGACGAGCAACCTGAACTTTTAGCAGGAGTTTACAGCTGGTGAAAAGCAAAGAAGAAGAAATAGATCATACAAGTTTTTGCCCAAGTAATTTAAATCTGATTAATAATCACACGTCAGCCCTGTGGCAAAATAACAAACTGATAGCGTAACTAACTGGTAAGATTATATATATATATACACACATACATACACACACACACACACACACATATATATATATATATATATATATATATATATATATATATATATATATATATATATATATATATATATATATATATATATATATATATATATATATATACCCACCCACACACACAGACACACATACAGGTAACTTACAGGCACAAAAATATATTCATTATGGATAATCAAACAGAGCTCTTCAGCTAAATCCAATACATTTTCTCGGACAACTTTTATTTCAGATGCAGGACTCAATGTTGGAAGATGAAACAGCGACAGGTGGCCTTCACACATCACAGCTGTGGCTGAAACATTTAATATTCATACGTCAGCAACATACATAATTCACTTACATATGGCTTCACCAGACAACAGTGATATGCAGGAAGCAAAGAATGGTCAGTTGCCACATGCTGAGGTATGCACTGAGGAGGGCATCTGAGCATTTATGGAATGTATGGTCTCATATGCAGCAAGAATGATCTGTCTACTAATTAACTTGCTTACACAATGTTCTTCAACCTTGTAACACCTGGGTTCCCGGAAAACAAAAGAAATATTTCTTGGTTCGGCTGAGAGTTAATTAACTCTTTCTGTCTCCCCCAACACATCATGTGTGGTCAGCTATGGTCCATGTGTCCCAAACAATGCCAGATTTGATCCGATATTTTTGATAAGCATTTGATCCGTTATGATAAAATTTAACATATCGTGTTGTAATATACGTTTTATGCTGCACTCGTGAAAGTAATGCATGTATGTTTTCTGCTTTGTGGCTCAGTACTCGTAAGGTATGTCTGATGAGATTAATATGGGACTAAAAGAGTATGGAAAAAAAACAAAAAAATACATGCAGAAAAAAATTAAATAAATTTCGTTCCATCTCCCCAATGGAGGCTGGCTAAGGCATTGACATTGCTGTCGACAATGTTGCATGCAGTGTCTTTCACTGGGTCAGTAGCAATGCAGCACCTGAATCATGTAGTCATTACATGATAAGGGATAAATCTTTGGGGGGGGGGGGGGGGGGGGGGGGCCACCAGAAAATGTCCTCGGACCAGCACCTGTCCGTACATCACAAACTGAAGAACATGAAACTATGAGTAACAAAACTGCAAGGCACACTGATTGATCTTACCCAGTATGCTTTCCAAAGCAAAGTGAGTAGTGACCAGGTTGGAATAGTAGTTGAGTTCAAACACAAATGGCAGTGAAAGACTGGGGTATAATTTCAAATCTCCATTTTCCTCATGCCTGTGAACATAACAATTATAAAATGAATACTTCACCAAACAATACCACTGCACACGGTACTGAGGCCTGTGACAGCAATAATAATAGTAAAAATAGTACTGTAATTTATTTAACATGCATGTCATTAGAACTGTGTTTTTTTTTTCTTCTGACTGAAGGATGATGCTTCATTAACTCTTTGAGGCCCATGAATTTTGACAGGCTTGGCTCACATTAATTTCCTTTACAAAAATGGCAGAGGGGGTGGTGTAAAAAAAAAAAGGACAATTGAAAATGTAATTTATTTCTAATCCTTATAGAAGTAAAATGAAATGGGTCCTCCTGGATTTATCTCATCAGAACAAACAGCAGACCGCTTAGCTGCCATGTGTAATTTACCGTCCGAATCACTTTCCAAAAAATGTAAATGTTTCATAATTAGACAAATCTGACTGAAACAATATCAGAGTTTTAGCAACAGAAAGGTGCATTTTCCGAACATGTACTTGTGTTCAGAACCATGGCCACCTAAACAAGAAATAGGAAAATGCACTGTCTGAAAATCATGCTAGCAATGACTTGGATCAGTTAGCGTCCACATCTGTGGGATCATACAAGTGTTTACAAACAAAACTTTAAAGTAGCCTTCCCTGAATAATTTAGTGGTAGTTTTAAACATTAGATGCGAATACGGAGCCTTTTGGGAATCAATATGTGCAGGACACATGATCGCATCCACAGTATTGTTTGGTCATATCGGAACTTCTCAATCAACACACACAGTAAGGCCACAGTCAACCTAGAAATAGGCTTGACGTCTTCCCCCGAAGTCGGAGTACATCTGCCGGAGAGGCGGGGAACGAGAACTGCTAACAAATAAGCCAGTAAAACGGATGTACACGCAAAACTCAGGTCAAGGTAAAAGCCAAAAGTCCATTTTGGACGAACAACCGCGACTTACCGCCGGAATTCACAGCCGGTGTACAAGAAGAAGAAGAAGAAGAACACACACACAGCATTGCTTGGGCCTCAAAGAGTTAAGAGATGAGAGACAGAAGACGATACAAGAATGTGCAGCTTCTGATCTGTCTGCATGGAACCACAAATTGAGCTCTCAGTGAAATGTCAGCAAAAATAGGCTAGGTGCCTCTAACAAATACCAACATAGTTAGAGCCCAAAACAATGTCTTCCCATTGTAGATGTAAAAAAAATGTGGACACAAACAATACACTGCACAATTTATTCATTCATTCATTCATTCATTCAGTAGCATGTCCCTCGCGGAACCTCGCTGCCATAACAACCCTCCGGAAAACCTTCCTATCCTGAGCAAGATGTCCTGCGTCTGATACACCCATCTGGAGATCATCTGCCACATCCTGCACCCATCTTCTCCTTGGCCTTCCTCTTCCTCTCTTCCCAGGCATATACCCCTCCATTACTGTTCTCTCTAGACTTCCATGACGTTTCAAGTGACCAAAATATTTCAATTTTCATTGTTTTATTGTCTTTACTAGCCAACCCTCTTCAATATTCAGCTCTTGAAGTATGGATGCATTTGTTCTTTTCTTTACCCAAGATATTCTTAGAACCTGTCTGTAACATTTATATTCAAATGCATTTATGCGCTGTTCCGCTTGTTTAGTAAGTGTCCAGGTCTCACAGGCGTATGTTGCAATGGGAAAGATGCATGCTCTTAAAAATCTGACCTTTGTAATTCTATCTGTACAATTCCATAATTTATTCAGTTGTTTTAGTCTTTGAAGAGCAATTGATAGTCGCCGTTTAATTTCTTTCATTGTGTCACCATTGAAACAATTTATTACCTGGCATAATTTGTATTTACGGCAGATAGATGTACAGAAACCAAAAATGTGGTTTATGCAGTTCAGCAAGAAAAGGACTCATTTTGTGCTGCACTACATGTTAATTTAACTCTGTAAAAATGTGAGATACAGCAAAATGTGCCAGGCAATAAACTGTAAATGTATTGTTTGTGTCCGTATTATTGAAATAATTAGTCACTGGATTCCCTTTGTGGCTTCTAGGGCCTCATTTTAAGCAACAACAAAAATGGATCCACTGACCTCTTAATTGACAGACATGCTGTAAAAGGCAACTAATTAGGCATATTTCCTTCGAAGCTGGAGAGCATCTGAGAAGTGAGAGCCAAGAGTCTGTATATAGATAAGCCAGATCTATAAAATGGAGCCCCTTAAGGGGGTGGGGGGGGCGCTCTGAAACCATTCATTGCGAAGATAAATATTTTAAATTTTTGAAAAATATATTCTCAGAAATATAACTTAAATGTGATACAGTCTAGCCATAATACCATTGTTTGCTGATGAGATGATCCCCTAGCAACTCCTGGGCATAGAGAATCACGTCCTCGATCTGTCCACAGAAGCCAACATCTGTCTGTATGGCATGGAGCTCTCTGATGATCCAGTGGACACCCTTCACTAGTTCTCTCATATACACACCCTGTAAATGAGAAGATGGACGGTGATAATTGCAAACAGTTGTTACTTCTTTAAATAATGTGGACACAAACAATACATTGCACAATTTACTGCCAGGCATTTTTTGCTCTATCTGGTCAGGTGCATTACTATAGAGCTAAATCAACATACAATGAAGCACAAAAACTGAATAAATCCAACCGAAATATGAAGGTTTCTTTCGATGCATCGTGTCGATCTAGTTGTTGGAAGTTCACCATAGTCATGCGACTTAACATGGCAACTTGAAATTTACTATAAACTATGTTGCTTACAAAGGAGAGGGTTGTTGATTTTAACTGTTAAATTGTTAGTTGTTAAAGCTTCAGCAATTTTCAGCAGTCACCTGTTTGGTGTGTGTGGTAAACCATTCAGAAAGCACCGTCCTTGTCAATTATGGGTCTGTTCTTAATTCAACACTCTCCATTTAAAAAAACCGAACACTTTAGAGCAGCAGTTCTCAACTATTTTGACTTGTGCAGACGTGTTTAAGTATCAATTTTTTCGGTGGCGCCCCTTAGGCCTACCATATCCCATGTTTTATAAGTTTATGGTGTTTAATTACAAGAAATGCTACAGAGGAAAGGAAGAGGGGGTTATAGTTAGCGAATTCAAAGTAATGTTGAATGTTGAATTGGGAGTCGACATCGCGGCACTCGGAACACTCCCATAAGTGCTCAGTCCCCCATCTTTAGCAGCAAGCAAAGAGTTTTAATTCCGATGGTACCAGTAACCATCTGATTGTATATCCGTCTCAACCTCCCCCTGAGTGTTGAGATTCGGCCAAATCCCCTTTAACTCCTCACTTGCCATTCTCCTTAGACCGTAATGATCTGTCTGCGTCTCGGCACTGTTCACTTGCTCCCAAATGGCCCTCACAATATCTAACTTGTCATACATCAATTCACCAATAAGTGGTGCAGAGCCAGCCAGTCTATCTGCCTGCTCATTTCTCACATTTCACACTGGCATTCCCTGGAGAAAATATCCAAAGGATGCTAACTACCCGGGAATTTAAAGTAAAGTAAAGAGTAAGTAAAGAGATGTCTAAAAAAACAGTACAATGTTCATGCAATGAAATAATGTTTTTCAAACTTTTAGATTTACTGTTATAGTCCATTTATTTTCAAACACCATCAATACACATAATATGGTCCAAAAAAAAGTTCTTTTAGAGTTCATAAACCAATTGCATTACAACATATTTGACATTGTAAGAGCAGCTGTAATGTCTATGAAATAAATAAACATTTAGTCTGGAACCTGTGGTCTTCTTATTTCAGGATCAGTTGATCTAATGGAGCAATGATGCACAATACAAGACTCTTAATGTCTGTTAGCCTCTCTTGCTCAAGCCTACCTTACCCTCACGTGGTGGACCCTGTTCTTCCCAGCAATTCAGTTGAAAATTGGGTTCTCTCAACCACAAGCAGAAAACTGGATAGGATAACAAACGAGGTAAAGGTGAAGGGATGAGCCCACTCTCCCTCTCTAGAGATCCTGACGTTGGAAATACTGGGCCAGAAGGCAGATCAGAAACCACAGTACTATGCAACCCCCCCCCCCCCCCCCCCCCCCTATATATATATTTATATTGTTGTTGTTATCGATCCAGCGGCGCATGAGCTTTCTCCCTTTGGCCCAATGCCATGTAGTGGAATTTGCATGTTTTCACAAGCTGTTCTTTTCCTCTGTACAAGGTGTTCCACTTGTCTGGTCTTGGAGGGAGTAGCATTCTTCTAGTCTCGCTGAGTTTTGGGCACTCAAAGAGATGGTGTTTAACAGTTTCGTAGGAGTAGTTACATAGCTGGCACTCTGGGGAGTGTTGTGGCTGTATTCTGTTTAGATGTCCATTGAGTGGAGTATGTTGCGTTCTAAGTCTGAAGATGTTGGCCTGGTTCCTTCTTGTTAGGTTATAAATGCTGTCATTAGGATCAGGGCCAGCCCTGTGTCTATAAACCTCTCTTCCAGTGTCTCCCATGGCCCATCTGTTCAACAAAGTCTCTTTGTTTATAGCTCTTATAAGTGTTTTTGCTGTCTGTAGGGTTGTCACTGTAGGTGGATGTTCTTGTGTTGCTCCTTTCTTTGCCAATCTGTCAGCTCTGTCATTACCTGGTGTGCCGGAGTGGCCTGGAATCCACTGCATCACTATTCTGATGTTGTATGAGCTAATAAGCTGATCAGCATCCAGGATTATCTTGGCTATATCAGTTATGCAGCGTTCACTGCCCTCCAGAGCTTAAAGGGCAGACACTGAATCTGTGAAGATGACAATATTTTGGGCCTTTGAAGGGTAAATATCCATTACAGTCTTTAGGTGGTATACTGCTGTTTCCAGTGCAATTATTCCGGCTTCATAATTTGAACAGAAGTCCCCGCTTGCATCAAAAATCTCTTCAACAGATCCATCAGGATAACCTATGTAGATTCCGTAACCTGCTTTAATGGTAGCTTTAAATGCAGATCCATTAGTATAAACATGTATCCATTCTTGGGGGTAAGAATCAACGGTCTTTAGTGATGAGTTCATAAGAGCGATTGGGTCGGACTGTTTGGTTTCCTCGCCTACCAATTTAATTTGGACTTCTGGAGCTTTAAAGGGAGCATGTGGTGGTAGGTTTCTTGCAACATTCTGAATGCCTTGACGTCTTTCTGGGAGGTGGTATCTGTCCTGAATTTCATTAACACGGTGTAAAACTGATTTGTGCTTTATTCTTTGTATTCCCAGTTTTCTACAAGATGTCTATTAGGATGGTTACGATTCTTTCTAACGTATCTTTCTTAATTTTTCTAAAGTGGCTTTTTTTCTCCGCAACCCGATGGGTTCCACATTTGTGTGGATTTCACATGCAGCAGTTGGTGTGGACTGCATAACTCCGCAGATTAATCGGACGGCATTATTTTGTACTCTGTCAAGAGTCTCTAGGTTAGTTTTGGAGCAGGTTGTAAGCAGTGAGTTGTTGTACTCTATCACAGAGCGAACATATCCTAGATATAAGCCCCTCAGAGTTTCCTTGTCTGATCCCCATGATGTACCTGCAAGTCTCTTTAATAACTGTAACCGCCTCAATGCCTTATTCCTTACGTTTTCAATATGATTCTTGAGGCTGAGCTGCCGGTCAAGTGTGACTGCAAGGTATGTAGGATGCTCTTCTTTCATCACTTGGTGTTTGTCTAACCTCAGGTTAATATTCTTCCTTGCTACTTGATGGCTTTTGGTATATATATATATATGATGATTACTAGCTTACCTGACGGTGTAAATCAGAAAGCAAACATAAGACAAAGAAGAAGTTGATAATTGCAAGCAAATATCTGGTTCTCTATCTAAGCGATTTCGTTTGTTTTTTAAAGAAGTTATCTTAAGGAGAAGTAAGCCAAGCTCGCCTGAACCTTTATTTGTTGCCTCATATCACCCTTTTTCTTGTGGGTCCCCATTTACACTCTCATCATTAATCAGTAAGTCCTTTACGTCGCTCTCTTCACAGCACACCTGAAAGTATCCCTTTCTCTAGCCAGCTCTCCGGCACCATGTTCTTTCGATGCCAATGCATCTTCATTGTCCTGTATCCATCTTTGTGGTGGTCGATCCATGCCTCGCCTTCCACAAACTGCACCTTCCATCTTTTTTTCAAGCCTCCATGACGCTTGATGTCACCAAAATACTTCAACCTTCAGGACAGAATGCTGTTTATGAGCCAGTTCCCCCTGATGTTCAACTCGTTCAGAATGTCGGTGTTTTTCCTCTTCCATTTATATGGTATTCTTAAAAAAATTTCTATTACATTTCCTTTCAAAAGCTCCAATCTTTTTCCTCAATGATTGAGTGAGAGTCCAAGACTCACAACCGTAAGTTGCCACAGGAAAAATACATGATCTAAAAAATTTTTTACTTTAACCAATTTACTAGTGCTTTGCCATATGTTCTTCATGCTATTTAATCTCTGCATTTACACTCTGGGGAATCTAAATCTTACCTGTCTGTATTTGGTTAGCATGAGGAATGCGATCAGGTGGGTGGCCATCGGTGGGGTACTATGGTCAGCAGCTGGAGAAAAAGAAAAATAATGTATGAATTAAGACAGCAATATTTCTCAATATTCCTGTCACACAGTACTGTAAACTTATAAATATAAGCAAAACAGAGGCCAACAATAATTCAAGACTGTTGGCAGGGAGGGGAAGAGGAAGGCGCTAATGCCACACAGATAAACAAAACCTTGCCACTTCTAGTGGTTGAATCCCAGCCCATTGTAAGTAAGGTGACTACATTTTCTCTTCTTCAGCATTCTGAGCCCTTAAGGTTTATTGCTGCAGACATCAAATGCCTTCATTCACCTTTGTTACTGGTGTTTTCTTTCCAGTTGGTGTTAATATTTATAGCTAAAACCACTAATCAAAATTGTTTAATTATGATACAGATTCGAAACCACTATATTTGGGAGAAGTATGTAGGTGTGTGGCCTTGACCAACAGATGCTCAAGTCTGTGAAGATTAGCTATATAATAAACACACATTTTACAAATGTCTATACGCACAAATTAGATTTGACATATATATTTTTTTTTTCAGTTTTGTTTTCTATAGGTTTTGACTACCCAGGACATGTACAAGGCAACAGATTTTATGTGTCTTCTTGTCTGGTTTCCCCGACCTATCTGATATGGGAGACTCTGCCAGTAGCTAAGCTATCATCAACATTGCTCTTATAATCACTGGAACTACACCATCCCTTTAAGGGGAAAATTCAATAAGTGGCAAAAGTTCATTCTCATATCAGACAAAACTGGTATATGTAGTTAGTTCAGTGCCTCGCGAAAATATCTGACATTTTGACATAGGCTTCAATACCCACTTATAGTAACGTTTTCTTTAAGCCCAACATTTGCAGTTGGAGGGAGCTGCCATGGTGACGTGCCTAGACACTTGCCTGATCCCAAAGTCGTGGATTTAGGTACTGATGGAGACAAGACCCTGGCTCTCAGGCTGACCCAGCATTAAATGAGTACCAGGTAAAGTCCTGGGAAGTAAATGTGGCTGGTGCGATGGTTGACCGCATTACCCACCAAATGTTGATTGGTCTATAAAATATAGGTCTAGCCCTATATGCCTATTATAACTGAAAGCGTGCAAAAGAATTTACAATTTTTTTTTAAAAATTTTTTTTTACAACTGTGAGCTTGAACCAGGCTTGAAAATGAAAATTATAGCATTATGTACTAACATGATATTCATAATGTACCTCATTGACAAGTAATCTGATATTGTTCATTGTTTATTTAAAGAGCATCTGTATCGCTCATTGGACATGACCACAAGTGCTACGATTTCCTCCTGAGTGTGTCTCCAAGTGTTTTTAGGCTAATAACTCCCATTCTGTCCTGGTTGATGTCATAGGTGGCTCCCTATGGTTTTCCTTTCTCGCTGCTCCAATTGGTACACCTACGGTATGCAGTCTATTAAGTGAAAATGCATCTTCCATGAAGCTGAAATCCTCACAGCATTTAATCTCTTCTATGGCATTGATGATGTCTCTCCCATTCCTGATAGTTGCACTGCCAGCCAGGGCATCTGCTTTCTCATTGCCTTTCACACCAGCATAACCTGGGACAAAAATAAAGGTGATTTTGCAAACCCTTGCATGCTGTTTCAGATGGAGCCACTGTTTTCATATATACCCCACCTTGATCTTCTGTAGCATGCTCACTGAGTCACTAAGAAAGCATGCATTGGTGAATTCCTGAGTTTTCAGCCATTCTAGCGCCTTAGTCACAGCCTTGACCTCCATTTCATGCTGCTGGTGGTAGAAGCAAATGCTCCGCTGTTTTCTTTGATGACTTTTTCTGTAGTTCTTGTCGTGAAAGCCCATGCACTTTGCTTCTGATGAATTACAGAACCATCTATAACAACTCATGGTTTCTGGATACGTATTAAAAAAAAAAAAAAAATATATATAACAGCATTTTCCAGTGATGTGTGTTCTACCAATGCTTTCACTTCTGCATCAACTACTGATGGTGCCAAGTCACAGCACTGTCTTGTCAGAGTGATAACCACCACAAAGTAGTTTGTATTCGTTTGGTATGGGTATCCATTCCTCTCCATGGTTTACATCCTGCAGGGATATCACCAGGTGAAGTATTGTCTCTGCACAGCCCAACCAAGACTAGCCTCTTTTAAGTCTGTTGCCTTTATGCTGTATTCAGTTCATCATGCAGTGCATGAGGTAGGGACATGCTTGGTGCAGTTCAAGCCTGCTGTTTATTTCTGGAAGTTCTAGTAGGTATCTCACTGCTCTACATAATGTGCCTTTGGTGTAGCCCAGTTTGATGCGCATTGCTTCATTTTGTACCTTTTCTTGTCTGTCGATTTGTATCTCGCTGATTGTGAGGATTGCCAGTGCATATTCTATCACAGAATGGATCAAACCCTAATAGAGGATTGCCAACAGCCTTTGTTGACACCAGTCAAATATGTCTGAAAATGACATGTAGGCAACTTTTTCATTCTCTTGGGATTCTATAAATTGACCGCCGCAATGAAGGCCGACACAGGAAACCAAGTCTCCTTGGAAATGTGGATACGAAAGGCAAGAAAACTGGCAAGGGACTCAGTTAAGCCTTGAGGGAAAGCAGTTTCTATAAAATAACAGCTAGATGTTGATGATGACAGCCGGAAACATGTTTCAACTATAAACTTACTGTAAACTGTATGGTCTGCAAGTGCTTTCACAATCATCCTGGTGATTTCAGCTTCTCCGTTTGTAGACAGAAGTGTCTGGGAGAAGTTGGGATATGATGCTCCAAAGTCTGTCAGCAGCCGTGCAGGAGCAGAAGGTGCAGTAAGTGGGTGGTAAGGGTTTGCTCTACTGAGGGCAAGAAATTCCTGTCAAAGAAAATTCCATGGTAGTTTTTTTTTAAAACAATATTACACATGGCAACTGTGGTAACAATGAAAACTGTTACCTGTTGCACTGTGAAAATCTTAACACTGATAATACTCTCTGTGGGTTAAACAAAAGAATAGACCTACTGCCTGCTAACAAGCATGCCACAAGAGTCAAATAATTAGGGATTTTTCCTTCGATGTGAGTGCACATGCGTGAGAGTTAAGGAACTAGCAGTCTGCATACAAATAAGTCAGATCTGTAAAATAGATGTGCCTGCAAAACTCATGTTCTGCATCAAGACCAAATTCCAGGAGTGGATGAACAACGAGGACTCTCCACTGGAGTTTACAGCAGGTGAACCTGAAGAAGCAGAACACTGATGTAGTCTGCCCTTTAAACCCCGTGCTGTACAGACTCTCAGGTCACAGACCATCCTTTCTTTTGTCATTTCCTTATCTCTGAGGTGTATCTACCTCATAGGAGTAATGAAGGAGAGAAAGAACATAGGACTGCAGCAATGACACTTTATTCAAGCTTTGTCTTAGCTAACACAAATATGTTATTTTCTACTGCAACTGCATCCCTGTTATAGAGCTGAGCTATGAGCTGGTTTATCTCCCCAGCACTCCAGCTACATCCTCAGCCAGAATGGCTAATTCAGTAGCACTGTCATTGCCAGCTGTTTGTGTAGCCCTACTGGATATCATCTTAACTACTTAACTATATCTACGACACTTGGTTACTGTGATTCAGTATATTTATTTCCCTACATTAACTAAAAGTTACATTCAGCTTCTTATAGCCCATGGTGTGTGGCTTTGGTAGTCATGTATATCCACAATCTTCTGTCTTGTGTTTTAGATCAGTTTTGACACAGATCTGTCATGCCATGTCAAACTGTCCAGCATTTTCTCCCTCAGTCCACCTCTGCCTTATTTCCCATTTATTTTCCTATTGTCATGACGTACTCCAGTTTTCTCCTTCTCATGCCATGACCAAAGAATGTAGACTGTCTCCTTCTGATGTGTGCAATCCGTTCTCTTCGTGAGTCAATTTCTTTCCAGATTTCATTACTCCTTATGTATATGTCCAGTTTGCTCTCATCATCTGTCTATAAAACCACATCTGCACTGCTCCCATAACTTTTTTCCCCTAATTGACCTGTCCATGGTTCACTTCCATAAACTGGGATATGATTTATATAGCTCTTGAAAATTCTCTTTCTCACCTCAACTGATAATGAAAGATTGCATACAATATTCTTAATTTTGTTAAATGCTGTCTTTGCTTGAGCTATTCTACATTTAAAACAACATTACTTTAGTTTTTTTTTTTTAACAATTTAAAACTCACCCTCAGAGAGAAGGGCTGTGCAAAGTCCACCCTGACACTGCCGTAGGTATTGAACATGACTCGAAAAATGGCCTTCACTGCTCCCCAGAATGTCTCCCTCACTTTCTTCTGACCCTGAAATGAAATACAAAAAGGGATGTTACCATTCAACACCTTGCTAATACAGATAACAAGATTCAAGTTAAACCAACTGACTCTGTAAGGCTTTGTAGCAGGAGGAAATAATTACTATGAAAAACTCAAGAAAGCATGACTTTAAACGGAATAAATATATATCTGAAGTAGTCACAGAGGAAGTCAGGTTTATTTAGTAAGCTGTGGCCAGATTTAAAAACAAAGAGAACATGTTAAGTGTTGACTGGAATAGATGCAAGGAAAAAGAGCCAGCCACACAGCACGCACTGCTTGGGATTGCAAGAGTAAACTCAAGAGTAAACTGCTGTGTGGCTGGCTCTTTTTCCTTGCATCTATTCCAGTCAACACTTAACATGTTCTCTTTGTTTTTAAATCTGGCCCCAGCCTACTAAATAAACCTGACTTCCTCTGTGACTACTTCAGATATATATTTATTCCGTTTAAAGTCATGCTTTCTTGAGTTTTCATAGTAATTATTTCCTCCTGCTACAAAGCCTTACAGAGTCAGTTGATTTAACACCATTACAGGCCCTTCAACTCAGAAGATCAGCCAGCCACAAGGGCAAAAGGACAGCAATGGCAAAATTAATGACACCTTATGTCTACATAAAGTATATATATATATATATATGTCTGTCTGTCTGTCTGTCTGTCTGTCTGTCTGTCTGTCTGTCTGTCTGTCTGTCTGTCTGTCTGTCTGTCTGTCTGTCTGTCTGTCTGTCTGTCTGTCTGTCTGTCTGTCTGTCTGTCTGTCTGTCTGTCTGTCTGTCTGTCTGTCTGTCTGTCTGTCTGTCTGTCTGTCTGTCTGTCTGTCTGTCTGTCTGTCTGTCTGTCTGTCTGTCTGTCTGTCTGTCTGTCTGTCTGTCTGTCTGTCTGTCTGTCTGTCTGTCTGTCTGTCTGTCTGTCTGTCTGTCTGTCTGTCTGTCTGTCTGTGTGTGTGTGTGTGTGTGTGTGTGTGTGTGTGTGTGTGTGTGTGTGTGTGTGTGTGTGTGTGTGTGTGTGTGTGTGTGTGTGTGTGTGTGTGTGTGTGTGTGTGTGTGTGTGTGTGTGTGTGTGTGTGTGTGTGTGTGTGTGTGTGTGTGTGTGTGTGTGTGTGTGTGTGTGTGTGTGTGTGTGTGTGTGTGTGTGTGTGTGTGTGTGTGTGTGTGTGTGTGTGTACACACACACACACACATACATACACAACACATTTTTAAAGTTTTCTTTTCAGTATTATATTATACATGCAATATTGTAAATTTGCTATGAATGTATTTTTAACCCTTTTAGCACGGGAAGTTTTTCAGAGGTCTAGCCAAAAACACGGAGCATTTTTTCAGTGAATTTGGTTATTACTTTATTTAATTTTTTTGACAGATTTCGGTTATTCTGACCCCTATGAAATAATATATCTATTTGAAGGATATAGATTGAAGTTCGTGATTTTCACAATATCGTTAATATTAATTGATGTATATGCAAATTATCTCATTTGCATATCTAAAAACAGAAAATATGAATTTGAATTTTCAACTTCAATGCTTGAAACATAAAACTAAAAACAAAAATTTTTTTAATTTGAAATCTTTTTATTGATCTTTGGCCTTTTTACAAATGTTGTAAGCAATTCAATAGTCAAAAACAGGTATATATATGTGAAACAGCAATAATTTCTTTAGGTGACATGTGTTTTTTCACCATCAGTCAGCACTATAAATGGATGTGCCGGAGTGTCAACACCTTCGGGTGGATATACCCTGAGCCATGGTTGGGCTGTGGTCTGAACACAACAGCGTCCCCATCTGATTCCCACTATAACTACTAACACTAAATCCTGCATCAGTATCAACAGAATTAGTGTCAACACTTGATTCAAATGTTTTTATCAACATCAAGTTTAGGGGCAGAAACATACGAGTCAGACATACTTTTAGCGGTTCAGGTCACTATCTAAAAAATTCAACAACAATTTTCACTTCGATACCAAACACTCGAAAGTCGCCATGTGTAAAGCTGATACCGCAGTTAATATAAATGAATCACTTTCAGTGTTTCAAAGTAGGAGATTTCTTAGCGGTTCGAGGCGAAACACGATCGGGCCGATCATCGGCCGTTCCGTGTTTTTGGCAAGACATCCGCCGGCCGATAATCGGCCCGTCCGTGCTAAGAGGGTTAATGCACATACACCCCATTAGCTATTTAAATATTAACACTATAAAAAATATGAGAACAGCTTTAATATGTGTACAATTAAAGAAAAGAGCAGAACACGCTTGTCTGCTCTTTAATCATAAACCTGTACATTTCCCCATGTCAATTCTGGGAGCCTATTGGTGATCTCTGACAATGTCATACAACACTAACATACATACAAGACAATGTTGAATAATAAACACACAAAACAAAGAACTAAATGTGAAACATTCATGAAGTACTTTACCATCTGCTCCCTGCAATAGTTCCCATCTATGATTTTCTCATAGCTGAATGTCACTGGCACAATTAATGCATCTGAGATTTCACCTGAAATCAAGCAGTACACATCAACTAGTTTATTTCTAGATTTGCTTTAAAATCATTAATAATTCACAATTTCTACAAGAGTGCATTTCATAATGGACATGAAGCAAGAAGGAGACTGTGCAGTATATGGAACGATACCATCAAGAACAGCCTTAAGGAAATTACAGCCATAAGAAAATTAGGAACAACATATACTGTGGTACCATGCTATAGAAAAAGCATGCAGGAGATCCTTACACCTCCTCCAACAGCTGGGTAAAGTAACAGAAAGAAGGAGAAGAAAATGAAGTAGAAGAATTCTCGTACACATATCTGGAATGCAGCCACTGAGTTCATGCATTGTGCAATGTTTCTGTCATCTATGGGAGGGGAGGAAACTGGACAGGTTTATGGAGATGTAATGAAAGTGATCCTTAACCAGCACCAAACATTTCTATGGTGCTTGATCCAAGGCATTCTTATTATTCTGTGTTCTGGTTCTTGCTCCACTTGTATCTCAATATATATATTTTTTAATCAATATTTTATCCACTGCCAGCTTGCTAGGCCTGTCACAACTTCACCAGAGCCCTGACAGCCACAACATTCTGGGTGAATGAAATAGCAGGAAGTTTTCAAAAACAAGCAATCTAAATCCAGTATTACAATAATGACATTTTTCCTTCAGATCATTATCATATTATTATAGTCACAATATCATTGAAACGTTTAGATTCACACATAATGAAAACATTGCACCTAAGAACATTTTTTATTGAAACGCATACCCTCATTACAAGCTTCTACAACAACCGACAGTAGTCCTCCTTTGGGAATGACAGCTTTCCCTGTCCGTGTTCTGCCTCCTTCGATGAAAAACTCTAGACCTTCTCCATGGCTCAAAAGTTTGGTCATGTACTGCAGATTAATTAATATTAAAGGGTATTAAAATAAAACAAATCAATTTCTGAGTGAGTAAACAAACAAGAAATGTAAAAGAAAGGTACGTAAAAGTAAAGAAAAGATCCCTTTTCATGCCTATAGGCGCATCAGGCATATGGAGAGAGCATGCATATTGTTATAGACCAATCAGCACTAGGTGGGAAATGTGGTCAGTATTACGCCGGCCATCTTTACTTCTCCAGGACATACATCCTGGTACCCATTTTAGGCTGGGTCGACCTGCGACGCCCCATACCATAATAAAAATCCACGCAGCCAGCAGTGGGTTTTGATCGTTGTGCGTTGAAATTGCGAGTCAGACTCGCAACACCTACGCCTTAGCCACAACAAGAAATGTATAAACGACAAAAAATAATATCTTCTTCTTCACTGATCAACATAATTTATTTCTCTGATCTGACATGACCAATTTAAAAAAAGGGCTAGATAGGTTCTTCAACAATTTAACTTGCTGGGTACTTCTGATGAGTCTTATTTATGCTCTGGTGTTTTCTTGAGTACTCCACAATAGTATTTGCTAGTTTCTTAGACACCTATTCATTAGAAGTGTGTTTTGTGTCCACAGAATCTTGTTCAGAGCACTAAGACTTCCTAGCTTGTTAATGTTATTGTTTACAGGCTCATAAATGTCATATTGTATTAACCTTATTTTCATAGACTAAACAGTAATTATCTATTCCAGCTTTAAACAAATGAATGGCCAATTAATTATGTTCTCATATGATTTTTAGACTGAAAATGTTTAAATGGTACATTAAGATATTACTGATTAACAAATTACCAGCAATAAAACAAAACATTTCTAGAAAAGCTATAAGAATATTAAATCATACAGCAATTTTCATAAAATATTTAGTTTTTTTTAAAAAGTTTAATGATAAATAATTTATCACAGCGCAGAACCATAAATGCTTTGGATATTTTTGAAAAACATAATTATCTTAGCAACTAAAGGGACTCACCTCATGCAATAAAGCTCTGTACACAAGGTCTTTCTGTCCTAAGTTTGTATCTAAACGGCGACGAATGAAGAATCCCCCAAGACCTCTCATAAGCACACTGAAATTTAGACAAAATTGGTGCTATTTTAATATGTGTTAATTACTGATCCGTAAGTGGTATAACTCTTGACTTCTAAAATACTAAATCTCTCGTACAAGTCAAATACTTTAATAATAATTAAAATTGTGTATGTAATAACCTATGTAGCATTTTCAACTACACTGGACATCAATAGTTTTGTTACTTTGTCAGATTGTAGAATAATTTGCTCCAGCATATTAATACTGTGCATTTCAGTTTATGGTAAATATGTCCAGGTACTAAATAATGTTTTTAAAATGTGAATATACGACTTCATATAAGATGTTCATGTCATAAGATTATAATGGGCTTAGAATTTATGTTGTCGAAACTTATCAAGTTCAGTGAAATGTACAGGAATGTCCAGAGACTTCCTATTACCTCATCACATGATGATGGGATTAATGAGGATATGGTATTCACCACTGGTTTAAAAGTAACCAGTTTTGAATCACAGCATAGAATTGGAAATTTCTGTTACAAGAACCAGTAGTTTTTAATGTTATCACATATTTTTGTATCTCTTGGTTAGTGAAACTGAGTTTGTTGAGCTCAGTTTAGGAACTGATATGCCACTTCGGTAAGGATGTACTTCTTCAGTCTTAACAAAAGAATGGTTTCCCAGGTCAAGGGACTTACCATCAGAGTGTGCCGTGCCACCCCATAGGTATCTGAACTTATAGGGCTAGACTTGAGACCCCCAAGAGGAAACAGCTGGTGTGCTTCACTGCCTGAGAGACCTGGTATCTACCGGTCTGGATCTCCAGGACCCTTTCAGTGGGAATCATGTACTGTCGAATCCACATATAGTGGGCATAAGATGTCAATGTCACTGCTAAGGCTACGAAATATTTTCGTAGTAAACATATCAAACATGTATTAGAATACCTAACAAATACATTAGCCTCCCTGGGGCATCCTGCAGTGAATGTGAAATCAAGTTTTTGAACTGGTCATTATTATTAGTTAAACAAATAAAGTCTGGTACAATAAGCAAAATCATAGTCTCCGAACAGCAACACAAACTCTGCCATATTTGAAACAAAGGCAATATTTTTTTTTCATGCTGTGCACGAATGTAGTCTAGATGCTACAGAAAATACTGCAAAGCCGATATATGAGAAATCTGTTGTGTTGGGCCTGAAAAAAGCAGAAAGAAATTGCACGCTCACTGTAAACCTCAACACAATAAGCCAACCATCATTTGAGGACAAACACAGAAGAAAGATGAGAAAATACCAGATTACTAATATTTATTCTTCTTTGAGGTTGAACAAGGCAATAATTTTGCTCACACTGTGAAAGATGACGGTCTGGAGAAAGTTGTGACAACTAGGAATACCTAGGTCAACAACGGGGCATGGATTGACAAAATAACAGGAAAAATAATCAAGTCACACTTTAGAATACATAGAACAGATGTTCGTACACAGCATTTTTTATTCTTTTTCTCACAATCGATGCCATGTGGTGGTGGTAATTATGTCTATCCAGAACTTGTGTCTTGTGTACTCGCAGTCACTTCAGACACAGATGATCAAACTATCCAACATCTCTTTCAGTCACTCAGTGTCTCTTTCCCCTCCAACTTTTCCACCATTATGATGTACTCTAGTAAAGCTAAAGCTCAATATCTAGTAAAACAGCAGTCAAGACAACTTACTTAAAGAATGGAATGTCCATGTTGTCGCCTGCAGCAACGAAGGGTGCACGAATGTCGTAGTGCCACAGAATCCATGTCACTAAAATGTAATCTAGATGACTGCGGTGAAGAGGTAAGTAAATCATTGGGATTCCTTTCTGTGGACATAGGGTAAACACATGCCATACTTGAAATTAGAAAACTGAAACAGGAGTGTGTTTAGCAAGATAAACAAAATGGAAACACACAAACAAAATTGAAGCACATTAACAAAATTAAAGCAATGTTTTCCTGTTGCGAATTTAAACAAAAAAGACACAAACAACAGAGGTCAGTCAAACTGTTTATCAGGGTTCAAAGCCAAATTTACCAATCAATTTCAAGGCTTTTCAAGGTCTCTTTAGTTTTTTTCAAGGTTGTCTCTGTGTAATACTAAAACAAGATTTTTGCCTTGTTCAAAGGTGTACCGAGCACATAATGTACTTAATTCGTGCCACATGTGTTGGTATACCAGCACATATATCATCATCATCATCATGTAACATTTCCTTTATCCTGAAATAAAAATCGGCCTCTCACCAGCTCTCCCATCTCATGTACTTTTTCATACACAAGGAGTCACTTATATCATGTGCCCATCTTCGTGTTGGTCGGCCCCTGCGCTTGATATAGTGTTTGAAATTTTTTTTAGGACTTGGTAAAGGGCACTGTCTGTTCTGGACATGGTATCTGAAAGGGTAAGGGGGAGAGAGAGAGAGAGAGTCATGCAGAGAGGGAGGAAGACACATGCTGAGGAAGGCTGGGAGAGACAGTGTAAAGATGGACAGATGAAGGTAGAGGAAAGAAGGAAAAGAAGTCTGGGGAAGGATGAAAAAACGAGAGGGAGGGATGGAGACATGATCAGGGAAAGTGGGGAAGGGACAGCGAAAGACAGAGAGGGAGACAAATACAGAAAGATGGAATGCAGATACAGAGATGGGCAGATGATGAGAGAAGGTAGAAGGGAACGAAACAGAGATATGGAAGGAGGAAAATATAACAAAGATAGTTGAAGGAAGGGAGGCAGAGGAAGAGAGAACGGACAGGGAGAGAAGCAGATGCAAGCAGAGATAATTGTAGACATAAAGGAGAGAGAGACAGAGGGACAGCACAGAGAGGCAAGCAGACAGAGGGAGAGAACCAAAGAAAGAAGAAAAAAGGCAGAGCAGGAAAATGGGAGGGAGGTATACAAAGAGGAAGTGATGAAGGGAGGCAAACAGCCATAAAGCAAGAGAGAGAGAGAGAGAGAGAGAGAGAGAGAGAGTGGGTAAGGAAGGCAGTGACAAACACAGATTAAGAGAGGGGGGCAGGAAATGAGACAAGATACAGTAAAAAAAAAATAGCCTCCTGCTGAAACCCAACTCCCCCCCCCCCCCACACACAATTTCAAGTGTAGCGGACACAATCACTAGGAAAAGATAGTTATGGGGCAAAAAACGTATTTAGATGAACTAGGGGGAAAAGTGGGGGGGGGGGGGGAGATAATGAGAGAGGGGAGAGGGTATGGAAATCTAGAGAAAATGAAAAGACAGGATGGAGAGGAGATAAAGAAGAGATGAGACAGGAGAAAGAGCAAGAGAGAACAGAGCAAGGAAAGAAAGAGAGGAAGAATGGAGAGAAAAGGGAGAATAGTGGAAGATCAAAGGAAAGAGAAGAGAGGTAAGACACGGTTGTGTGGGTGTGTGTGTGTGTGGGGGGGGGGGGGGTGGCGATAAGAACACTGAGCGCCAAAAATAGAATTAGGAAATCTCTGAGGCCACTTTTCCGGTTCCTACCCTCTCCCAATGAGAATGTGGCCATGGTCCATAAACAACAGTGCTAACCCCTACTGGCCAGTGCTTGTCCTATCTGCTGTGAGAAAAATAGTTCAATTTCTTACACTTAAGGCTGGTGACCTGAGAGCCAAGGTCATTTTATGAAGAAAAAAGTCCAGGGGATCCCAACCCACCACCGGTGGAAAATAGAGCAGGTTACCCATACACACACAAATAGGTCAGGGCATCAGTGGACTTGTTTTATTTCTAGTTTTCCAATTACAGAAAGGAGGGGGGAGAGGAGGTGGTGGAAGGTGGTGTAGAAGGCTGAGATGGTAAGGGTGAGACAGAGGAGGTGAGAAAGGTGAGAGAATAACGTTTAAAAAAATAAAGTGGGAACTGAGACAGGGAGAGAACGAAGGGAGTAAGAAATAAGATATAGAGGGAAGAAGGTAGCAGGAAGGGATGCACCCGCTCCCCTAGGTGTCATCAATGTGGGAGGAGAAAAAAAAAAAAGGAGGGGGGGGGGGGGGGGGGCGACGGCAAATGTGTTTTTAAAAGTACACATATATTTAATGTGTGTGTGAGGGAGGGGGGAGTGGTGGACATAAAATTTTCTGCACTAGGCAACACATAACCTTCTACGCCAACTGAAGGTATGGAGTAAGAGAGAGAGAGGGGGGGGGGGGGGGGGGGGGGGGGGAACAGAAAATACAAAGAGAAAGAAAAGCAGTGACACAGACAGGCAGAGAGTGAGGAACAGGTAGGACAAAATGTGAGGGGGGCAGAAAGGGAGATGGACAGAGATTAAGGCCGCTAAGAAAACAAACGCTAAGAAAACAAACACGTCAAAAGACAATATCCCTATGTTCACGCTGAACGACCCCCCCCCCCACCATAATACAACTTCCTGTGTACTTGAGTTGCTAGGAAAAGAGTTATGAAGCGGCACATTTACTAAACATTTAAACAAGAAAAAAAAGAGGGGAAAAAAAAAAGGGGGGGGGGGGGGGGGAACAGGAAATGATAGAGTAAAAGGAAAGATAGAGAGAAAGAGAAGGAGATGAAGATCAGAAGGAAGGGTTAGAGACAATGCAGGAGACGGGAAGGAAGGAGCAATAGGTAGAAGAGTGAAAGAAGGAGGGAAGAGAGAGAGAGAAAGAGAGAGAGGGGTGAAACAACAGAAGAGGGAATCTCGGGGAATTACAATACTGATCGCCAAACACACTGTAAAAATAAAACCAGGCCAAAAATAGAACTGGGAAATCCAGCTGACGTCACTTTGCTTAGCCCCAATGCGATCTTTAATTAATAGAGAAGGCTGTGCTTAGCCCCCACCACGACCGACTATTTATAAATACAACCCGACCGAGCCCCACCATCTCCCAATGTAAACTTTTCTAGAAACCACGGCCATAAAACAATTTATACTTTTATTAATTCTGCCGGACTCACTAGAAACAAAGACACACGCGCAACCCCTATGCAACGCCGCGCATGTATTCAACACAGCCCGCCCCTCCCCTGGCTTTTAACAAGCTATTTAGGCTGAAAATAGCCGATAATCAGGTGCCCTAATACCTGAAACAACCTTAAACTAAAGTAGCCAAAACTAGCCAAACAACAAAAAAAGCCAAATGGCCACCAAAAATAGCCTAACTGTTGAAAATCACAGGACTTTTGGCGTTCTCTTTGCGGCGGTCAAAATTCACGGTTTCTCAAGGTCAGAATGTCTTATTCACGGTCAAAATCACTGTTCCTTGCTGGATAAAAAAAAATTACTGGTAAATTCAAGTTTTCCCGGTCCACTACAAACCCTGGTTTATGTCTGAGCTTAATTACTATTGCAGAGCCTGAGGTCACACAATTTTTTCACATTACCTGACTAGCTTGTTTCACCACCATCATTTGTCCTCGGCATACTTGAACACTTCTCAGAAATTTTGATAAAAACTTTGTCAGGAACCAGGCAGTAAAACTGAAAAGAAAACAATTCACTAAATTTAAATAATGCGGATACAAACAATACATTGCACAATTTATTGCCAGGCATATTTCCCTGTATCTCATCAGGAGCATTACTACAGAGTTACATCAACATAAAATAAAGCACAAAACTGAATAAATTCAACTGAAATGCTAATATTTCTTCGATACATTGTCTGTTTCATGGCTGCCGGATAGTGTATTGTTTGTATCCGCATTATTTAAATTCATTACGGGAAAACATTGTTTTGAATTCACTAAATGTTTATCATCAATATCAAGATCATACGAATGATCTCAAAATATAGTTATCAATTAAATTTGTTTTTCCAATCTCTAAATAATTTTCTCAAACTATTTTAAAATACCCCACTGTATCCCTCTCCCATTAAAAAGTTCCTAAAACTTATTTGATTTAGATAATCAACTATTAAACAGGCAACACTGTGGTAGAATATAATACAACTATACACTGAAAATGAAGAAATTCAAATTCCTCTGAGGTGTGTAACAGGCCTTAACATAGTCTCCCAATAATGTTAAAAAATTAATATATTCTAAGGTACCAATTAAAGAGTTAAGGAGGTGAGGACAGCCAAAAGAAACCTTAAACAACATTGACAAGAAAAAAGAAAGGCCAAAAGCGTTGGACTGAATTCAGTTCAAGATATTGAATTAAAAATGTCACTTGGAAACATTAAAATGTATAATTTTCTGATAAATGTATTGCATATTTTGCATCTAGTGTCAAACTGAAAAACAATTAAATCAAACTTCCTTGATGTATAAAATATAACTATAAATGACAAAATGGCTTACTTTATGAATATGCAAGAAACAGAAGCTTTCATTTTATTGATTGTCTTTACACACTGTTTCTCAATCATAGAAATTTGCTTAAACAAATAGTCTCGATCTCCTGAGAAAGAAAAAAAAAAAAAATGAATAAAGTTAAAGGATAAACTTTCAATCATGGAGCTATAGCATTCATAGTTTTTAATTGTAATTTTTCAAGGCTTTCATGGCTGATTACAATTTCTGGCTGAAAATACATGAAGTCAAGCTGATGCTGAAAAATAATGTTTGATCAATACTTATTAGTGAATGATACAAGGGTCACAGACCACAAGAAACAATAACCCAGACAGTAGAGAAGACAGGCTATAGCATGTTCCTTTGTAGCTGCAGGGTGCCTAACAAGTTTCCATGTAAAGGACAAACTAAACACTTTTTTTAAATGAGAACAATTTTTATTTATATAATATGCTCCACATGACAATGACCGATTAAAAAAGAATGTTGATGCGTGTCCTCCTCTGCTGAAGAACATGCATAAGCACAGCTGGAGATATGCATGTAACGGCATTGGTGATGTTCATTTTTCTTGCGTATGAAAAATTATGAGCTGTTTTATATGGCCAAAAAGGGTTTCTAGGATTTGCTCCTGATGGATTCACATCTGAAAAGTGGCTCTTTGAGTCACTGGCTGTCAATAATTCAGGCATCAAACCCAGAGTGGAAAAGTTACACACATAAAAGTATACATTGAATGCTTTGACAAGATAATGAACAGAAAGTACTAGGATAATACATACCATGAGTGGACTGTATGACTTGTTCTGCTGTTAATTCTATAGCATGTACCACTCTGAGAGAAAGGGAAAACATGTATAAAGGAGATTAAATGTATACTTCTAAACACACATATTTACAGATATCGACAGATATATACATATAATTTACCCTGTGTTGTTTATGGAGCCCTATGGTGGGGAGAAAAAAAAAATAGATCCACCTCCTATCACAAAGTTAGTTGCCTATCCTTTACAGGACATTGCAGAACCAATCCCAGCATTTATTTATCTGCTGTAGTTTTTTTAGGCAAATTTTACGTTCAGTAGTTTGCCACTGCTTCTGAACAGTCAGCTCTCCATACCACTGTCGAAACCAATGCAAGACAAATATCGTCAGGGGTTGGAATCAAACCTGGCACCTCGGCATAACGAAGCGCGTTTGTTTGTAACGCCTAAGCCACAGATGCCTCTCATAAGCATGTCGTAAAAGTCCACTATTTTAGGGGTGTTTCCTATGAAGTCAGAGTGCATCTGCCTGAGAAGCGAGAAACCAACAGTCTACATACAAATGAGGAACTGTAAAATGGATGTGCATGCAGAACCCCAGTTTGGGAATACAACTAAAGTCCAGAAGTGGATGAACAGCAAGGAGCTTTCAACAGAGTTTACAGCCAGTGACAACAAAAAAGATATACATCATTTAAAATAACATGTCCCAAAGAATAATTGTTTTAGAGCAAGAAAAGTTCATTTTTACCAATTTATAGCATCAAATAATATTTTTTTTAAACTAACGTATTTCTTTACTAGATAAACATGTAATGTAGCCTGAAGCAGATAAGGCCATTAAGGTATAAAGTGTTATGCCTTTTTTTTAACACAATAAGTTTAATAAATAAACAAAACAAAAACAGAAAACTCAAGACAAAACTACATTCAATGAATTACTTTCACATCAATGCAGATCGAGAAACTAAACTTAGGGTATTAGGAACTGCTAATTTGTAGGCAAGTGTACAAATGCACTTATTCTGAAAGTAAGACAACTGGGAAGCAAGAATAGAGTGTGCAATTAAAATTTAATTATGTTAGGTAACAATAAAAGAAAAAAAGTACTAGAAAGTACATTGTTCAAAAAGAAATGACTAAATTACCACTCTACACCTCAACAAAAATCTATGAAAAAATGTTTTATGGGGGGAAAAAACACAGTAAAACTTAAAAATCAAAATATGATTTCTATGTTCACAAATGCAGTGTTCTTTCACTTATCATAAAAAAGTTTAACAGTGATTATCCAATTATATTTTTTTTGTTTCTTACTGGTATAATTTGTGTAACAGTATCTTAACTGCAGTTGCTAAGAGGCTGCGTTCTTATGTCTGCTTCTTCCTCCTTATGACTCCTTGTTCCGATAAGGTAAAAAACCAGTGCTTTTTTCAGCTCAGTAAGTAATAAAGTAAAAAAAAAAAAAGATTATCCATCACAAAACAAAATAACCTGAAACAAAAAACTAATACAGTAAACATGCTGAACTGCACAGAATACACACTGTGTCACTTACCGTGGACTGGTCAGGACGGATTTAGTCAAATCTGGATATTTACTAAGCAGAGGATGTCTGAGTGCATAAGCTTCATCTGCAAAACATCTTGACAAGAAGCCAGTGTTGCTATTGAAGAAATAAAATACATAGATGTGTTATGAGTTAGATTATCTTCACAGCACTCCGGGCACACCCATAGGCGCTCAAATTCCCCTCTCAACATATCCATCAGTGTCGCATGGTTAAAAGTGCCAGTCCTATTTTGGTTAACAAGACTTTGTGTGCGTCCGGTGAGCTTCTCATGCTTGGCTGTGCCTATGGAATATCTGCTCTCAACCAACTCATGCTAAGCCCTCTGTAGCCTTATTCCTGAATGGTTGGATTGTGCAGCTAAAGGTTATTATGGGATGAAGTAACCATTCTTAAAGAAATTCTGTTTCGTACTTGTTACAATGTGCTTGGTAGGTTGCAGTGCTATTATTCTTTGCCTCGCTAATGTGTCCTGAAACAACACACGTGGGACAACCACATTAAGTGTGACTGGTCTAGAAAATTATAATTATATCACTATTGCTTGTTACACCAAAGATGTGAAAATGGTCCTTTACTTTTACTATTGTTGTTAATGACATCAAAAAAAAAAAAAAAAAAAATTAACTTTTCATTGTTTCCGTGGCTGAATAAGTGATTTTTCTGTAGTTCTTATGTAGTTGTTTCAGTACTTTTTTTTTGAAAATTTTATTAAAAGGCTTTCTAGCCACAGCAATGATTGTGGCACTCATGATTATGGTCGTGTACAGCTGACAAGTTCGATTTGGTCAATTTAATAATAGCCACACAAAAACTGCAACCTATGTTTTTTTTTACTTAGGATATGTAGATAAAATACAAATGCAAACACATAATAATATCTTGGAAAGTAAAAGCACACCACACATCCAGTGCCCCTGGGTTTTTAAAATATGAGTCTAGCATCATATACCTGATGCACCACTGGTAATAATGCAATAACACTTGGTTTACTTACGCCATTTCTGTTCTGACATCAAGAATGTTCCGCATTCCTAACTCCCGCAGCTCTCCTGACATGAACTCTCTCTGAGAAACAATGAAAGGAAATTAAATTATGTTACATCAAATGTGAATATTTATATGGCTCTGAAACTTAGAGCACAACTAAACGAGATGAAGCCTTACTACAGGTTTTCGAAAACAGAGTCTTACGACGAATCTTTGGACCCATCAAAGATGCAAACAGCGGTGAATGGAGAGTGAGAAGCAACAACGAAATTCATAATCTGTTTAAATCACCACTGATCACTGGCATCATGAGAGCTAATAGATTTAAATAGTTGGGGTATATTGAAAGAATTGCAGATGACAAAGAAGTAAAAACTGTATACACAAGGGAGACCACAAGGCAGACCAAGAAAACCATGGAAAGATAATATCCAGACAAACTCGCAAACACTAGGTGTTACCAACTGGAAAGAAAAGGCCAACCAAAGAGATGAATGGAGGTGGGTGATACCTGCAGCAATGAACCTCAAGGGCTCGGAATGCTAAAGAAGAAGAAGAAATATAAATATATACAGAATATAAACTGAAAACAATTACGCATGAAATGTTACTGAAATCTCTTCTATTTTTTCTTACAGGCTAAACAAGTCCCAATTAGCTAAGATCTGCAAATTCCTCTTATCTTGAAAGATCTGCCACAGATCCCATTCTTTTTTAATAGCCATACTGAAGAACTTCTTTACAACAGTTTTTTCCATGCTCAGTTTTTAAAAGCACAGACAGCTAGGTACTCGGCAGATGAAGGATGGTAAGTCACTACAGACATATTTTATGGTGAAGAAGATGGGAAGAAGATGTTGAGGTTGGCCTCTACTATGATATCAAAATATTCAAGCAGAACAAGAATGATTCAAGTATTGAGACAGATCTGTGGCAATAAAATGCCATGGATCATCATCATAGGCTGTGCTTCCCATGCCTTCCAACTCTACAATATAACATTATCATCCGAAAAGACGGAAAGTGCCAACTGAAGAATTTATTATAAATTATAAATACAGCAGACTCTCAACTATTTGGCCTCCATACTATACAGCCTAGTTTAAAAACAATTCTAGAAAATAAAATGAGTACAAATTCACTTTGCCAAGACACTGCAAGTGGGCATCTGCTACAATCTTCATATGTCCCGTTTTGAGTCATGTAAAGCTCGGATTTTCTCCTCGTTGCTACTAGTTTTATTACTGGAAAAAGACCAGGCTGTGATGTCAATGCAGTTGACATTACAGAACGTATGGTAAATGACAAACTTTATACAAAAAACTGACAATGGTATGGTGGAAATTTTGACACAGGGTGAAGTAATAGGAGAAGGAGGCATCCTTAGGTGACAGGAAAAATATAATCATCCCATATCCTAAAGGGTTTAAGATGACTGAGGCTGCATTGCGGTACATAAGTGAGCAGGAGAAAGTGACGCCAGCTGACATCATCTGTCTATGTAAGTGAAGGAGGACTAAAAGGGTGAACCACTCATCTATCAGGGACTTTTTACAAAACAACACAAACTGTCAGTTTTGATTTTCATCTTGGCAATACATTTGTGTATTCATTTATCATTAAAAACTTTTTTTTTTAAAACCTAAACATAATTTGTAAAAATTAGGCCTATATTTTACTTTATTTTTTTTGTTCATTTCACATGTCTGTGTATTCATACCGTACTTCTTTTTTTTTCCTATAGTCCATACCATGTAGCGTTGGTAGTCATGTCTATCCAATATATTCTGCCTCATTTACTTTCAATCAACTCTGACACAGATGATCTTCCATGCCATGATGTCAAACTGTCCAGCATCTATTATCTCGGTCTCCCTCTGCCTGTCCTCCTCTTCAACTTTCCCACCATCATGATGTACTCCAGTTTTCTCCTTTTCATCACATGACCAAAGATCTTACTGTACAGTGCATCTGCTTTAATATTAGACATGATAAAATGTATCTTAAAATGTGTACAATATTTGTATTATTAGACTTCCTTTTCCTGTAATAAATTACAGTACAATACATAAGAAACATGGCCTGTGCTAAAACAGGTCAGAAAATATAAATAAGAGCAAGTTTTTGTATAAAAGGGGTGTTTCTAATGCAATAGGTGGGGCAGAAAGTATTTATAGAACTCCAACCTCTAACGGGAGTGTTGTCATTTTTTTTATCCAGCTTGCCTTCCATTACATTAGGCCAGACAGTTGTAGGTCATTGTATCAGAACCGCTGGCAGGATGGCATTCAAAAGCAGATATTTTTTAAACACGTGAATGATAACAAAAAAAAACTTAAATTTATACCAGTCCTCAGGGATCTTTGGCTATAGAGAAACAATAATATACCAAAAGTAATCACCAAACAATAGAGTCCCAGTTCCCCTTTCTTATATTTTTATAACTGGTGAGATTTACCCGGCTTTGTGGCATGCATGAACAACAAGCTCCCATGAGTGGTCTCCTCGTGACAAAGTGCTTGGGAAGAAATGATGGCATCTGTTTGAATGAGCTGATCGTTTCAATATCAAACTGACAGAAGAGAAAATTATAACAGCAGTGTTTTCACAAATCTTGCTACTGCTGTGGAATACAACAGACTACCATGTTGGACAGGTTTCTTTTCAGTGTTCCCCTCTTCTGGCATTGCTGCCTAAAAGACAGGTGAAATGAAAAGGTCCCTTTTCCACACCCCTAGGCATGCTGGGTATATAGTGCTAGACCTATATTTTATCAACCAATCGGTACTCTTTATAGTAGGGGAACCCTATCGTAACCCTATAAAGTAACCTGCTGTCCTGTGGTTTAGGATCTTCTTTAGCAAGACAGCATGAACCTAACCACTGTGTCACTGCAACTTCTCTCCTCAATACAATGTTCATCATTTCAGTAATTGCATTTTTTTTAAACTGCATAAATAAAGTAGGAAAACAATCAACTCTACTGCAGAACAAAAACACTCACAAAGCACAATAAGCATAGGACAACAGTTGTACGTTAATTAAGACCCTCAACGTGCCAAAAATGAACTTGCAGAATGTGTAAGGTTACATAATTTAAGCTTTGAGTTGACTGATGTTTTTCCTTCTGGGCTGCTACCTGAAGGTTTGACCACCTTTTCATAGAAACAGTCAATTTCTAAGGGATGTAAAAGAAAAGACCCTTCTTACATTTCAGGCATATCATGCTACTCATATTTTTATAGAGCAATCAGTACTTGGTGGGTGATGTGGTCAACATAATGCCGCCTGCCTTTGTTTTTCTAGGACAGTGGTCAGCAAACTCTTTAGTCAAAAGAGCAAAAATCAGCAGCAGCAGGACAATCAAAATTATTTTGAGAGCCAAATTTATTTTCAAGAACGTGTCAACAACCATGTTTTTTGGAGTCAAAACTGATTTGTGGCCGACTGGCCGAGCCACACTCAGGTTGCTAAAGCGCTGCATGTGGCTCGTGAGCAGCAATTTGCCACTGTCCTAGGACATTAGCTTGTACCCATTATAAAAAGACTGACATTGGAGCTTCCCATGTTGATTTTAATGCATGTCTGATAAGTAGGGTGACCATAATACTTTGGGCTGAAAATGAGATATCCTACTATTTACTAATATTGTAAGCTTAGAACGGGACATCCTAAGCAAGTCAGTCGAACCCTCGCCCTTTATTTTCTAGGTCACCCAAATAACAGGGTTAATTACTTGCTTGACAATGGTGTTAAAACCTAATCCATTGTCGCCAGGAATAAACGAAACAATATGCCTTGTAACTGCACTGAAAAAAAAAACATGCTATTATGAAAATTCCTATTAACATATTTCAGGCACTAAGTGTATCTAAAAACTATGAAATCTTATAAGGTACACAGCTATAACAAAACGGGAAAATTGCATTTTTGTGTGTGTATGTGTGTGGAGTGCTGATGGATGGCTGGGATACGCCTAAAAACTGAATAGTCACGGTGAAAACAGGAAGTATGGTCACCTACTTATCGGCTGGCAGGCGAGCATCTTGCCACTAAGCTACGGCGGCTCTTTTCTAAATGATGTCATCATATAACACAAACAATGTACATACTCGTTTCTCAGTGTCCAGCTGAGGTTTTCGCAGACGAAACAAACGTCGTCTCTGGCCTGATTGCTTTGGAGGCCCATCTCCTCCAAGGTTTCTCATCTTTTCCATAGACATGTGACTGTTTTCGTTCAGGAAGTTATATTAAGGTCCCTCCAACAAAACAACAGGTAGATAACTGCTGATGCAGTCAACAAAATGACCCTATTCAAAACCAAAATTATATTGCGCAATCACATTTTATAAATTAAATAAACATTTTATTTCATTCTTATACATTCACCCTTTCCTTATAATGCTTGGTGCTCCCTCTCAGACCCGTTTAACCCGCATGGCAAAACAGCAATTCAATGTAGCTTAAAAGCAATGATCACTGTTGGTATTTTGTTTTAGGGAAACTTTGACAAAAATGTTTCAGCTGCATAACAGTAGTCACCAATAAACAAATTTATTTTCAACTATAGAGCTTCCAGACATATAATTTTACATATTCAAAACAATGTTTTCCCATTGTAAATTTAAATATCACAGATCAGATACCTGACTGCAGCTGACAGGATAAAGTGAACAAATTTGCTAGGCAATAAATTGTGCACTTTATTGTCTGTAACCAATTAATATTTCAACTCTTTCACTCCCAAACAACGTGTGATGCGTAATTAACACTGCTGTGAATCCCGCTAAACATGTAATATGTTCTAGTCCTTTTCATAGCTGATCACAGTATTTTAAGAAATCTGGCTTACCTAGTATTCAGCGTCTTTGAAAACAATACAATGGTAGTTTTTTCCTATTGGTTATTTATACATATGAGAATCTCTGGTAAAACCTTCTGGTACTCAAGAAGTTAATCTTACATGTTAGATTTGATGATTTTACAGCTCTCATGTAGAAACATGTTTTTGCTCTAATCATTGATCACAATCATAAATTAATCAGCAAAAATTCTCTGACTTTGGGAGTTATGAGAAGAATGGTGAAGAAACCTAAAAATAACCAAGCAACAAGAAAATCAAAATCTTGCAAATAAGCCTTTGGAGACTGGAGGTGTGCATCTACAGAAGAATAGGTCTATATCAAGGAGATAAAACAATCAAATACAGAGTTTCCAGACAGACGCAATAATAAACATAGATTAATCAGGTATCCTCCAGATAAAGGCCACATAATTATGGCCGCCAAAAACAGGACCTCAGTCACATGTAAACTGCGGACTTCTGGCGACTTACATTGCGCACTTCCGGCAACTCCAGCCACCGCAGAGAGTATCTCCCATGCCGCTGCACGCGCCGTGGATTGGGGCTAAACTAGATGGCTTGGATTCACGAGCAAAACTGCAGGAGATAGGAAGCTGCTGCTCGTGAGTCCCAGCCATCTGCTTTAGCCCCAATCCATGCTGTTATTCGGAGGATAGCCGGTGATTATATTATTATTAATAATCAATAATTCCTACTCTCCTACTACTTACTACTCAGGGTACTGCCTGTTATTATTATTATCAAGTTAAAATATAATTTTTATTGAAATTAAAATTATTCTGATATTTTCAGATTGTTCTTCTATAGTGAGGCCTCGGAAATGAGATACCTGAGAAAGGTGGTCCAAGTGACAAGAAGGGACAAAGTCCGCAATCAGACAATACGTCAAGATCTTGATACCCAGCCCTTACTAACCCGAGTAGATCAGTCACAGTTACGATGGTTTGGACATGTATGCAGAATGGGAGAAAATCGGCCACCATGGCAAGCATGGGAGGCTAAGTGCTAAGAACCAGGGAACCAGACCTCCGGGACGACCCAGAGTGTGCTGGGAAGACAACATCCAACAGTCCCTCACTGACAGAGGACTGGAATGGAACAAAGCCAGAAAGAAAACTGCTGATAGAGACGTCTGGCGATCTCTCTGGCAAACCTCTACACCCCAAGGTAGAAGAGGAGCGACTAAGTAAGTAAGTCTTCTATAGTGATAAAGATATATATATATATACAGACACACACACACACAAATACATACAATGATTTATCAAATGTATGTATTTATTAACACAACACAGTCACAGAGTAGTCACCTCACTGCTGCTTAAATCTTCTCTTAATCCCTAATATTGTTAGTAACAATGATAAACAATGAATAACTATTAACAAGATCCCCTTCTTATTGAACCCAACATAAACAAAACTAGTGTAATTAATCATCACCATCGAACCTTAATCTATAATATAATATATTATATAAAATCACGCTGAACAGTGAATGATAGTAATGATAATGTCAATGATTGAAGTATGAAGGCAAGGCTGGCCAAAAAAAATTGTAATGAAAAGTCCATTTATATTTCAAACATACAACAATGTTAGTAAGGAACAACTGCCTGAACAAACAGTGAGTGAAATAATTATCTTACGAAACATGTCTGATGTAACAACGACAGAAACGTGCTTGGATTCAGCAATGATAGACTTCTACACAAGTTTTACAGAGGTCATTGTGTTGCGGTGTCTCTTTCTATCTCCCAAACAAGAAGATCACAGGTGAGAGAATTGAACCGTTTGTTTACAAATTCTGGAATAGTGCAAGTAGGGGAACCAGGAAGTTTAGGCCCCCTCAAGCCTCGGGGGGGGGGGGGGTGGAGAGATTTAAGGCTTCAGTCTGGGGCGGGAGGGAGTGGGGTAGTGCGGCTGGGGCCTAGGCGTTGCGAACATTCATCATCATCATCGGGTACCTTGCCGACTGGCGTGGGCGATCATGCCTCTCCACAATCTGGGATTTCCTGCAGCGTGTATTAGTTCGTGTGCTGAAACACTGCCATGCAACAAGACTGTCAAGAATCTTCTCTCGTTGTCTTCCTCTATCCCTCCTTCCACAGATCTTTCTAGTGGTCGCAGCATGATCCATTTTCCCTCTTCTCATAACATGGCCGAAAAATGATGACTGTCTCCTTCTGATGTCTCTGATTAGTTGTTTTCGGGCTCCTGCCTCTTTCAACATTATTATTATAATTTCTAAATACAAGGTTCTTTTCACGTCTGGTCATTTCTGTTAAAGTGGTTTTATGTTGATTTCGACAATAGGGATAAATTTAGAATCAAAATGGAAAAACTACTAAACTAAACGTAAAAATTGTTTAATGAAACTAATACTGGGATGCAGTTGTTCCAAAACTGGTTTTGTCCGCCGCTATCCCTTTTTCAGGAACAAAAATTGCTCATCATCACCACCACCCCCTCCCCCCTCCTTTTTTCCCCTGTGAATATAATCATTATGTGCTATGCCGATAGGCATAGGCGGTCATGATTCGCTATGCTGCATGTGACAGCACCACAACAACTTAAACAAATGTCACTACTGTCTGTTTCACTACCTTTTTTTAGGCCAGTGTAGACAAGGGGTCGAAAGCCTGAGGATTTAGGGCCGCATGGTTAGTGCTGTCGCTACGGACTGTTCAGGTTAGGTCGAACCGGGGTCTCCCGCAAGACAGCCCGACGTTGTAACCATCTGCCCATCAACAACAACTAGTACTGTTCTGTTACTACTGCTACTGTGAGCAGGGCAAGGCGGTAACTGTAACTTTCCCGACGTGGGCAGTGGTGATGTCAATAATGTCAAGTGAGATGCATATCGTGTCGAGGGTGGTGGATATGGGAGTGCAGCCTGGAGCAGACAGACAATAATATTTCACCGAGGGCAAGAGTCGTCTGATTAATCACCACAAAACGGGCGTCATTCGTGGTGTTTGCGCTGGTGGAGCTATGGGGTAAAAGATCTGAGAACCATTGGATCTGTCCGGAGTGCTGTAATGAAAGTCCTCACTAATCAGTAATCTCTCAGTCCCATATCTCTTCATTCCCATACAGTCTTTCAACAACTCTCTTTTTATTCCCACAACTATTAACTCCAACGTGTTTTTATCCCTACATCTTTACATTTCCAAACAGTCTTTCAACAACTCTTTGTCCTAATAATGTAATAATTTTTTAATGCATACAGCTTCACGCAGATTTCTGAGGTCAACAGTCAAAGCTCGCCTGCCAGCGAGAAAAAAAATCGGAACGTCGGAAAACCAAGATGCCGATATGATCGTCGCTTCAGCTATGTGGTTAGTGCTTTGTGCAAAACTTTTATATAAAACACGCGCGTATTCGAATGCAACGATGTGTCAAAATGTGAAAGCACTTGATGAAGAACTTTCGGCATACAGCTTCATGCAGATTTCTGAGGTCAACAGTCAAAAATCGCCTATCAGAAAGGTGGGGGGGGGGGGGGGAGAGAAATTGGATCGTCGGAAAACAAAACCTAGATGCCGATGTGATCGCCACTGGAGCTATGTAGTTCATGTTTTGTGCCACACTCTATATAAAAAAACGCGCGTATTCAAATGCAACTGTGTGAAAATTCCAAAGCAGTCGGTAAAGAACTTTTGAAGATTAACGATTAGTAACAAACGAACAAACATTTTTATTTATATAGAATTATTTATTTGTATTCTCCCTTCCAGTTCAACCTCATAAACTCATTTAACAATATCTTTGTCGTTTTAAAGCTCTGATACATTGAAACAGATGGGGCAGCATGGGGTTTGCTCTAGCCGTTGTGTGTGCATTTGCCTGCAAATTTCTAAAGGTACCAGGGTGGGCTGGTTATTTTTTTCTACCTCACCAGGACATCACACAATTGATAAACACACGATGACACAATGTGCCACCATGTGAGTGGGGATCATTGTGGTGAAGATCACGTGGAGAGGTCCCAGAAACCGCGTTCAGCCATTAGGCTATATTGCGGCCCCGGCATGTGCCAGAGCAGGGCTTCAAATAACGAAAAATGCATCCTAAAAAGGACGGCAGGATTTTAGGACTGGTTCTGTTCTTATGGCCAGTATTATGGTGTTTAATATTGCATAGATGATGATGTTTCGTTTGTAGCATGAGATGACTTGGATGGCTGATTTTGAGTCTGTGTGTATGTCAGCTATTTTTGTTTCTTCGTTAAACTGAACCAATGAGAGCCTGCACAATGAAAAGCATGATTGGTGCCTCTGTTCTGAAGTTGACGAACGACCGATGCAACAATAGTTGCAGACGGTCGTAGTGGAAGTAGGCTTCCAGCTCCGCTATTGA